GGTTTGCTGTGAAACGTTATATTTTTATTAAGTGTCTGCGCTTACTGCTTAGTCAGGTTTGACCACGGATTAGCGATTTCGTCAAGATCGATCGTGTCTGTTAGATTGCGCTCACACGCAAGAGTCAAGAGTTCACCAAGGCGTTCCTGGTTTATTTCTGAACGCATGACAGTTTTCACTGATTTCAGCTATGAAAAGCTGCGCTCGGCTGATGCGGATGTTACAGGAACTGTCAGGCGCGTAACTATAGGATTTTTGATTGACCGAGACACTTCTGAGGGGGGGTCTGGGGGCATGCTCCCCAGAAAATTTTTGATTTTCTAAGACTTAGAAACGCTATTTCCTGCATTCTGGGAGCAGTTCAAATGAAAAATCAATTTCATAAACAGTGACAGAATGACTATAATTTTATACCGTAGTTTGCCCCCAATCCTGAGGATAAGAATTACAAATATTTTTGGTCAAACATCATTGATCAGGTGCATAAAAAAAAGTGTTTGTGCTCAATTGTTGTAATATTTGGGCGCTGGCCCGCACTTTTGTTATTGGGGTACTTGTGCACCCACACAGCCTCACTTTCTTACGTCACTGTAGGGCAAGAATAATGCTTCTTTACATGGAGAGAACTACAGTCTGTCATTGAACTTGAATTCGATTGACTCATATACCTAGTTATGGGCCTGACTGTAAGCAACAATTGGAAACATCGCCTAGTCAGTGGAAGCAATTTTTCGCTCCGTGATTTATTCATACATGTCCAATACTAACGCAAATGTCCAATGGCCATATGATATGTCCATTGGACATATGACTGTCCATTGGATCACCAATGGACAACTCAAATGTCCATTGGACATGTGCATGTCCAATGGACATATCGAATGGCCATTGGGTATTCGAGTGTCCAAATAACTTACTTAATGCACAACCAAATGTCCAGTGGACTTATGCCTGTCCATTGGATCCAATGGACAAATCAAATGTCCACTGGACATTTCAATATGTCCATTGGACATCTTGCAGAGGTATTGGACATTAATCCACAACTGTTTGATTTCATGTAACGTATAGAGCTATAAAAGCTATCGCAACGAAATAAAGATCATTGCATTCAGAAAGGACTAAGATTTTGAGATATAACGCTTGAATTTACATGCAATATTGAGCGAGATACAACCAAAATAAAAATATTTATTATTTAACAAGTATAACTACATCGGTAAGTATAAGGTTGTTTTATGCTAATTTTTGGCATTTTTAAAAACAGTAGTTGAACGTTCAAACATCAATAGCCCAGTAAAACAGTTTTTGGGACAACCGGTATTCACATAATTTTTTGAAGTATTAAGTTTTATATTTAAATTCACGTTTGGTTTTAATTCGGTTCGATAATTCGCTCCATATCCAAACAGCTCAATTTTCGCCGAATGAATGCAACAATTTACCGATTCATTCGATCATGAGTAGGGGCGTGCCCCCCCCCCCCCAACACACACACACCCTAGCGCCCCCTGGATTTTTATTACCTTTGGGAATTTATCTGTAAATGCAAATAATAAATACGTATTTTAACGTTTCTAGGAATCTACGGGTAAGGCACGTGTACCTGTGAATAAGCCTGCCGCGAAGGAAACTAAATCGCAGATATCTATATTTGGTAAAATTACGCGATATCTGCGGCAGAAAATCTTCGCTGACGACCACGAGCAGGTATCTCCGCATTACAAACGATTATTCCAGCGCGTTGGAGCCGACACTGAGCAGCACAAATTTCAAGATCCGGGGAAACGAAATGGGCACACCTCAGAGCCGGACGAGCTCGACTTCGCACCCGACGAGCAAGTATAGAAGAATCCGTACGAGGAACGATAACAAAGATTACACATGAACTGAAGCTTTTTGTAGATTACTAGAAATAGAACAGTAGACGAACAGAAATAAGAACTGCAAACTGCATTAGTTAAGGTTATAATGATTTTATATAAGGCCTTAATTTTAGCGTAGAACTAATTGAACTATATTGTTTTTCATGTTATTATTTATTTGTAGCCATAGTCAATTTAAATATACTGTACTGTGGGGTGGAAATTCGTCACTCAGCCTTTGTTCGTATTTGCATTGGGAATTTTCAGCTTGCACTTTGTGCAAATATTTTGCGGAATTGTGAAGGTATTTGACTCACTATTTGTCTTTGCGCAAATTGTTTTCTTTTGTTTTCTTTGCGCAGATTCCCCCCCCCCCCTCCTCCCCCCAGTAATGGTCCCGCCCATAACATATTGATATCTGGACCAATGAATGCTTACCAATCAACTAAACGCAACGTGATTGGATGCAAAAAAGCCAATCACAAAGATAGGCGTGGCGTGAGAGGTGTGGCCGTATAAAATGCAAATCACCGCCAAGCCGAAGTCATTCTGGTCGTCTTGTTCTGGAAAGTGGTGGAGTCGAATTTCATTGACAAAAAATCTGGAGGAGAATGGATGTACGAAAGAGGACGGTGATTTCTTCCTAAAAATCATTGAGCAATGTTCTAGAACCCCAAGAGCTGAACATGTCAACATAAAAGGCCATCTGTCTTGAATGCCGCGGGCGTTAAAGCGAATCGCAGATCGCTTGATTGGAAGTGAACGTCTTCGAGACTTTAAGAAGCGACTCAGAAATAAGGTATGTTTAAAGTTTTATTTCGAGATATATTCATAGTCTTCAATAACTATCAACTATTTAGTACACCATATCGCCTGTGTTGGCTGTTAAGAGTTCAAATAGCTTTTCTCTTGAAAGTTTTTACGAAGCGCTATTAGAAGCGCTGGTATCGCCACGTGTAAATTTGAAGGTTTAAATTTAGCGCCGACGAACTTTCTAGCTGGGTGGGTTCGTAAAATGTTTTAAAAATGTGAATATTTCTGGCAGGGCTAATGGCTTGAATCGTTTTAAAATTTGTACCAAAGCGTGGAAATTAGTACAATATAAACCATCTAGAATTCATGGTCTGGGTTTACTGTATATTATTTGCTACATTTACTGGATTATTTATTAATACATTTACTGGGTCATATTGCTACATGTACTGAACACTACATGTACTATTAAACATACGGGCGCTGTGCAATAACACAAAAGTTTTCCAAATTTTTATTAAGTAGATATAGTATATGATTGTTTGCAAAATCAAACTACTACATTTTCTGATTTTCACAATTTAATACTGCCAGGGCAGTATCCAAAAGAAATATCCATGTTCTGATCTTAAAATTGTGTGGTGGTTCATGGGCGTGGCTCGACACCCCTCATCGGATCGAACCATTTTATAGATTTTAGCAGATTTTAACTAAAGAATGAAGTTTTTTAATTTTTCGTATACGGTATATATTGTGACTGAAGAAAATTAAAATTATCTCGACCATTATTTTTCACCATAGCATTGCATGTCAGAGGGTTTACTGACCGTTTAACAATTATTAGACAACAAAAATAGCAACAATAACCAATTGTTACACAGCATGCAGGGTATCAGATGAATGAGCAGATTGCTGTGATGGATGGCCTGTGGTCAGCTGCCTTATGCACTGTGTAAATTAAGCACACAACTCGCTTACAACATAGGCATACTTATAGGTATCATACTTATGAGTACTGGTGTACTTAATACTCAACTGCATCTCATTCAAGGAAGTTGTGTTTCTCAACTCTTCTATTCAATATTTATATTCTTCTAACAGATGAAATGTTAACCAACAATATTTTATATAATTATAGATGTTACTGGGTTTACTGGTTCAGATCAACCAGAGGAAAAATTTCAACCAGAGGAAGAACTTCAACCAAATTTGTAATAAGAACGACAATCCCAGTTGATGATATCCTGAGGTTAGACATAGTGGATTGAGGTGGACATCAAAGAGCTGGTCTGAGGTACGGGTGATCTACTCATTCATAACATAATTTATAATTAGAGATTTCTTTGCATAGATGAAATTGTCTCATTGCCAAAGACAATCTTTTTCACATGCCATGCATGCACTTACTTATCAGTGGTTGTTATATTTTGATACTATTTATCAGACAAAACTGTTTTTCTGTGGGTTCAAATTTACAGATCAACAACCTGGTTGAATGTTGAATGTTGATTCTGAATTTGAGTGCGAATGAGTGCAATGACGCATCAGGAATCAGTTTAAATTGATGATTACTAACTAACCATCATAATATATATAAATTACAAAATTAAATGCGCTTTAATAAAGTTGGCATTTAAATTATAATCTATTTCATTTAGGGTATGCAGCTACTAGCTCTGCCATCCAGTGATATTCATGGCACTGAAAACTTCATGGCATGTACTGTACCAGTTGCTGTAAGTAATTGTATTTTTCAAATGCTGTATAAATGATATTTTTAAAAACAAACTTTTTTCATGAAATATTTCAAACATTTCTTACATTTGTTTCAGGTATTAACTGTTACTGTATGCTGAAGGTGTCATCTCTTGAGAAGATGCCATGGGTTTCAAGTCGAAGATTCCATTACAAATGTCAAAGAAAATGAGGAAATCTGGAGCACACAACAATCGGAACAATCTGAATCTCAACCTCGTACCTGGGTACGAAGTTGTCGGAATCTAATACCCTGTTCGGGAAAGCTTTTGTGCGACTAAAGCATCAAGCTAGATGGTAAAAGCTTGCCTATACTACTTGTGGAGAACGTTAAGCGGATAATGTCGACTGGGAAGATGGATTGCAGAAATTGAGGCGAACGTTTTCGATTGGCGAGAGATAAGGCATGCTAAACCTTTTAACATTTTTTTTCGAGGTATATTCATAGTCTTTAACAACTATCAACTATTTAGTACATAATCACTAATAAATTAAGAGCCAGCGCTGAGTCTCCCCTTGACAAGTAAAATCATCTGGCGTTAGGGGTCACGTCCATATTCATGTTGCCACGCATAACGTTGAATCGACGTTAACACTCAAACCCACCCACCCACCCTAAATAGCGTCGAGCGTGGCAGTCACATTCTTCAAAACTTTAACAAAATTGTCATTTTGCCACGAGATTATCGAGATAATTGAGATAAACCCACCCACCCACTCATAACGTTGATTCGACGTTATGCGTGGCAATATGAATATGGACGTGACCCCTTAGACAAAGTGAATATACTAAAGTAGGGTGTAAAAAAAAAATAATCTGTTGTTCCGGTTCCCGACTGAGCCTATTTTTTTTCTGCCGACCCTATTATTTTTTCAACGCGATTGACCGTGCGACCCTATTTTCTGCGGGTGGTTGCGGGTTGCTGCCAAAATGGCGTCTGTTGTCACACTAATTATTGAAAAAACCATGAAAAAAAATAATATTCCAAAAAAAATTATTTCCGACCTACCGACCCTAATTTTTTCGAGATATGAAACCGGAACCACAGGTATTTTTTTTTACGCTAGGATGATGCATCAGCTGGGTGCAATGCAACTCGATGGGTTAATCATCAGATTTTTAATTCTTTTGGCGGACATATGATATTGTCCTGTAATCAGTGCCATGTATGCATGCATGTACATGTGTTATCTGCATATGTGTTCGGCCCATTTAAAACATTTTCCAACGTTAGATTTAACATTTTCATTTCATGCATTTTGATGAATCTTGCATGGACTAACTTAAGATATGTCTTTGCTGAAACTTCGATATAGTATTAATTTTCAATATTATTAACAACAATTTCATAATTCAAGGTGAATGCATGGTTGTGAATCAATGGCTATAAATTTGCTCAAGGGTAGTCTACAAGAGGAATCCAATGTGGATTGAAGAGAGGCATGCTGACTTTGCCAGTATTAGTGTTGGATCTGTCAGGTATTTTTATTGATTTTTCCACAAAGTGTTATCTTGCTTACTTGTATTAACAGAGTTCTTATAGAATTGAGTATATTTGAATCGAGTATTTCGCGCTTTGCCTAAAAAAATTATTTGCTCGGTATAATTTTATTGCACCACGCCTAAATTAATTAAACATATTGGATTATATAATTTTTTCATAAAAAAGCGGATTTGATGTATCTCATTTTTAAAGTGTGTATTTTCCAAACAATCTGTTTTACATAATATCAGAAGTTGCAGATATTTTCTCCTGATACCGAATCTCGATCATTCGCTAACATAAAATTGTACAATTAACATACGAAAAACAACAAATGGAAATGTGTCCTAGCTATATTATGCTCCCCACTTTATTGTTTTTGTTTTACTCTTGACTGTCTAACGCCAGATGATTTTACTCGTCAGGGAGGAGAGCACGTGCAGCTACGAGAGTTGCAGTCTGAGAGTCCATTGTCTCTGATTACTAGCGTGGTGGAGGTTTCTTTCATGATCGATTGACTCTGCACAAACAGAATTTAATTGACAAACACAAGGGCAAATGCAATCTTTTCCTGACAGCCTGTTTGTGGTTGTGAAGGGTGCTAAATTAACCTTTGTGATTGGTCTACTTTGTCAAAAATGACATGAAATAGTGTGCATGTACTGTATATGTATATTATATATCTCCGCCACATCCATCATGTAGGCACATTGAGTGAAGACTGGTGTTGATGGATCGCGGGGCATGCTCGCCATTGACAATTTGTTGGTGGTAAAGTCTCCCTTTCTCATTCGTTGGTGCTGAAGGAACTAGTGTCGTTCTACATGGCAATTTGTTGTAATGCCGTTTTCGTGATTGAGACAATTGGCCTTTAAAACGAGGCTCTAATAGCCAAATTAAGTTACGTACTTGACTATGTTTACCTTTTCTATTTATTATCAAGTTTAAGTCGTCCGTTCTTGTTCTGATATCAGACATATAAATGACATGTCCCTGTTCTGCTGTGTGATCATCTCTAGGTCTTTCATTGATTTCAGCAGGCAGTCCACTGTAGTGTAAAGTTTGTAGGCCGATGTGGATAATAGGCTTATGCGGCTTTGTGTTCAGGGTAGGAAACACGTAATGCTTGATTTCATCAATTCCTGGACCAGCAAATATTTTGCTATAAATAATTCATTTTCTGTTGTCTAATCCATTTTGCATTTTTGTATTATTATCTTTAAGCATGCGATCCCCTAGCTCTGCTTACATATGACAACTCCAGACTGGTTGAAATGTAAATTGGGATTATCAAGTCTAAAATGATCAGTTTGAATGCTCTTTTTGGCTTGCGCATGTTGATGGCTTGACACTGGTTAGGTTGTCTCGTTTTGTTTGGCTGTATCTGAATAACAGAGGTCATACTGACAGTAGCCTGTTTTCACAGTTTTTTTTTGCTGTGTAGTCAGTTTGATTCTACTTTTCGATGACTGGAATTTTAGTTCAGTTGGTCGGAGAGCAGCGCTGCATCGGAACTGCAGGGCCACAGTTTCGGTTGCTGTGTCAGGCACCCAATAAATTACTGTTCCTCAGGTTAGGTCTTAAGTAACATTTCCACTCGATAATTTGACCATCTACGATTGTTGGTCATGTCCCTCCAACTATTGCTTTGCCTTCATTATCTTCGATGTCCGTTTCCTGCTCTGCCTCACTTGTTGAAATATCTGACCCCATCGGGTTGTTGGCTATATAGTCTTCTGTGATTTTATGTCTTTACTTGCTTTCTACTTATCGTTCTACTTTTTGACGATTGGCCTTAATTAGCTCAGTTGGTTAGAGAATAGAGAGCGCTGCACTGGTTGCAGGTTCGATTCCTATGAGGGACATATAGAAGGGACCTCCTATATGTCTTCTTCTTGTTCGCGCATGGTAAGAATCCTAGAACAATCGATAATGTTAGGACGTTTGTCTTAACACTTTCAATTTGGGTAATTGTTGTAGTATTTAGGCAACACGATCATTTTAATTTTTATTATTTTTTGTACAACACGCCAGTATTGCTAGCCTGTTGCTCTGCATAATTTCTTGTTGTTCTGCAATATTTACCTCTGTTGCTTGCTCGTAGTCCATAGGAGGAGTTTTGCTTCCACCTGGGACATCGCTGAAGAAATCTAAATAAATATATAAGAACATTTCTATAATTGTTGCAAGTATGAAGTATTATGATTATTTTTACTGTAACTTTAGATTAAAAATTATGATCGAAATGGTTGTGTCGCGTCGCCTTTGCTAAACCTCGCTATTGTCTTGCCGTCGTCGTGTTGTCGTCAGCTTGATTGGGGCCATTCTGATGATTAGACTGATGAATTTGAGAAACAAAAAAGAAATTGTGCTTTTTTGCAACGAAATATATGTAAACAATCGAGCGAAGAATTTGCTAAATGTTGACAGTAAAATAATGCACAATCTAATATAAAATTTATCTCCTTACTTTCTCCTTATCGTTCTTTTTGACGACAAGCCTTTTAGCTCATTTGGTTATAGGGAGCGCTGCACTGGAATTGCATGTTCGATTCTTGTGAGGGTGTGAGGGTCCTGAAGAACCTTACTCGTCTGTTTCTTCTGGTACAAATCCTAGAACAAACAATGTGCATGTTGGGATGCATGTATTAACACTTTCAATTCGGGTAATTGCAGTCGTATTTAGATTGAGCGTGTATATTGTCCTTGTGTTTGCATGATGAAGCAAGGTTGGAGTGGTATAGAGGGGAATATTATAGGAGCCTAGGAGGGGAATATTATTCTCTGCTATTGAAATCAGTCTTTTTCAGCCCCCCCCCCCACCCCCCTTTAACAATCAAAAGCCGCCGCCAGCTTTTCAAACAGGCAATGGACAGGGGCTAGTGAACATATTTCCAGAAAAGAACGAAGCAAGCCGAGGCATGTGAAAAATAACAAGGAGTTGCATTTTTATTATCTGACACTTTTCCTGACGTTGAACGTGATCGTTCTGCCTGCATCCCCTACAAAGAATTATCAGTTTTATAATTTTGAGTTCAACTTTATTCTGCGTGCAAAGAGGTGCATGTGGTTTAAATGAATACTTACAAAAACAAACGCCATACGTTTTTCTTTGGAATTTACCTTGTTATCAAGTGTTCTTTTGGAGCTTGGGGTGAAAGACTAAAATTGACAAAATTTATAAGTTAATTAAAGGTGTGATATTTCCATTTGGTAGCTTTGATAATTATCAATAAAGGTGTTATATATCGTAAACGTCTGAATATAAATATACATGGAGGGGCGACTGTAAACGATATCGTGAACGAAAAAAATGTATAAAGATACTGACTGAAGTAGCTACCTAAAAACTGTTTTCATGCACTAGGCGGGAATTCCCCGCACCGAGCGAATTTCTTTTCGAAAACTTCTGGCATGGCCTGTAAGTCGTTTAAAATATCAGTGTAGGAATTTTCATTTCTAAAATATATATAGGCCCCCGTGGTCGGGGGAAAAGCATGAGATTGGCATGATAAATTAGCATCTTAAAGTTACAGTGCCACGCCCTAGGGAATTTAATTTCCTTCCTTAACTCCTTGTGGAACTGTTCACGATGGTAAAGCTGAATGTTACCATCGAAAAAAATTAAGAAGAAATACTTGGAGTTAATTTCATGATATATATATATCCTACGAATAAGTATATTATAACGTTACATAACAACAACACAAATATATATATTGACATATAATAACACATAGAAATAAAAGCATAACGCAATAATGCATGCATCTAGTTGGAAAATTTACCCTAAGTTCATTTTTCAATTCTAGTATAATTCATCCTGAAACATCAACAGTAATTGTTTCTGTTGGGAATCGACTGGTTAGCCAACACAAATGTTACTAGGACTATGAGGGACCTTACTTGCTTTCTTGTTCTGGTAAGAATCCTTAAGAACAATCGATAATGTGCATGTTGGGACATTTGTCTAACACTTTCAATTTGGGTAATTGTTGCAGTATTTAAAATGACTGAAGTATAGAGGGGAATATTTTAGGAGCCTAGAACACGAATATTATTTTTCTGCTATAGAAATCAGTCGTTTTCAGCCCCGCATTCCCCTGTAACAATCGAAAACTGCCACCAGCGTTTCAAACAGTTGATGGACAGGGCTATAGTGAACCTATTTCCAGAAAAGAACGAAGTAAGCCGAGGCATGTGAAAAATAACAAGGAGTTGCATTTTTATTACCTGACACTTTTCCTGACGTTGGACGTGATCGTTCTGCCTGCATCCCCTACAAAGAATTGTCAGTTTTATAATTTTGAGTTCAACTTTATTCTGCTTGCGAAGAGGTGCATGTGGTTTAAATGAATACTTACCAAAACAAATTGCGAATCGAGTTTTTCGTCAAGAGCTCTTTTGGAGCTTGGGGTGAAAGACTAAAATTGACAAAATTTATTTAATTAAAGGTGTGATATTTCCATTTGGTAGCTTTGATGATAATCAATAAAGGTGTGATATATCGTAAACGTCTGAATATAAATTTACATGGAGGGGCGACATGATATATATATCCTACGAATAAGTATATTATAACGTTACATAACAACACAAATATATATATATATATTGACATATAATAACACAGAAATAAAAACAACGCTATCGTGCATGTATCTAGTTGGAAAATTTACCCTAAGTTCATTTTTCAATTCGGGTATTTCATCCTGAAATCCCAACAGTAATTGTTTCTGTTGGGAATCGGCTGGTTACCCAACACAAATCAAATGTTACGTAATTTATCTGGGCATGGCACCCTTCGTTAGTTCGTCTGAACTTTAAGGAGAAAAGCTATTTGAACTCTTTAGGATGTGCGATTGTATACTAAATAGTTGATGTAGTTGTTGAAGACGATGAATATTCCATGAAATATAAAACTTTAAAATGCCTTATTTCACGCTGATCGAAGATATTT